CCCATCCCTCAGGGACACTCTCCCATCCCTCAGGGACACTCTCCCATCCCTCAGGGACACTCTCCCATCCCTCAGGGACACTCCCCCATCCCTCAGGGACACTCCTCCATCCCTCAGGGACACTCTCCCGTCCCTCAGGGACACTCTCCCATCCCTCAGGGACACTCTCCCGTCCCTCAGGCCGTTCCCTGCCCTGCCCAGGACAGTCCCCAGGCTGTCCCCAAGCCCAGAGCAGGCCCTGCTGTGCTGCCTCACGTGTGACAGGACGGGCAGGAGCTTCCGAGCCGGGGCTGCTCGTCCCTTCTGCGTCCAGGATGGCCCTTTCCCGCTTCTCCTTCTCTGCAGAAGAAGGAAATCCCATCACTGCCTGCCAGATTTTAGGGAGGAGGGATGGGGACAGCTCGGCCAGGCCACCTGTGGCTGCTTTTATCACCTCGTGGAAGGTGAAAGCAAAAATCCCAACAGGCGCCTCAGGGCCTCCTTTAAGTGCAGCCAAAATCCGGCTGGACTTCCAGGGCTGCCAAAAGAAACCTGGGAATTTGGGAGGCAGGGGGGAAATGCACTGAAAAAAGCTGGGAAAACACCAAAGCCACCCCCCGAGCTTCCACGTGAAGAGGGGAGCGAAACTCACCTTCCTTTGCGGCCTGCCAGAACTCGAAGGCGATTTTGAAGGCCTGGGCCACGGTGAGGGTGACAGCCTGAGCCTGCAGGGGAGCAGGGCAGGGGGGAAATCACTGAAATCTCTGCTTTACCCGGCTGTGAGCCTGCAGCTGAGCACCCGACACTGCTGGGGCTGGCAGAGCCACCCAACACTGCTGGGGCACTGCAGGCTGGGCCAGGGAGGGGACAGGGCTGGCCCTGGGCCGGCCCTGAGCTGTCCCAGCCTGTCCCGGGCTGTCCTGGGCTGTCCCAGCCTGTCCTGGGCTGTCCCAGGCTGTCCTGGGCCGGCCCTGAGCTGTCCCAGCCTGTCCCGGGCTGTCCTGGGCTGTCCCAGCCTGTCCTGGGCTGGCCCTGAGCTGTCCCAGACTGTCCTGGGCTGTCCCAGCCTGGCCCTGGGCCGGCCCTGAGCTGTCCCAGCCTGTCCCTGGGCTGTCCTGGGCTGTCCCAGCCTGTCCCTGGGCTGTCCCTGGGCTTGTCCCTGAGCTGTCCCAGCCTGTCCCTTTCTCTCTGGGCTGTCCTGGGCTGTCCCAGCCTGTCCCTGGGCTGTCCCGGCCTGTCCCTGGGCTGTCCTGGGCTGTCCCTGAGCTGTCCCAGCCTGTCCCTGAGCTGTCCTGGGCTGTCCCAGCCTGTCCCTGGGCTGTCCCAGCACTGTCCCGGGCTGTCCCTGGGCTATCCCAGCCTGTCCCAGCTTGTCCCTGGGCTGTCCCAGCCTGTCCTGGGCTGTCCCCGCCTGTCCTGGGCTGTCCCTGGGTTGTCCCAGCCTGTCCTGGGCTGTCCCAGCCTGTCCCTGAGCTGTCCCAGCCTGTCCCTGAGCTGTCCTGGGCTGTCCCAGCCTGTCCCTGGGCTGTCCCCGCCTGTCCTGGGCTGTCCCTGGGTTGTCCCAGCCTGTCCTGGGCTGTCCCAGCCTGTCCCTACCCTGGAGATGATGGATGGGGAGAGAGCAGCCTCTCAGAGCTGTTCCCCACACCTCAGCACGACCCAACCACCCCAGGCCCTTCCCTGCAGGCCAGGAGAACAGGCAGGAGCACCAACAGCTCCCAGGGATCAGCCCCAGAGCCCGGAGAGCTCGGGAGGGACAGCCCGGCACGGGCAGCAGGGTTTGTCCTGTGCCACCAGCCCTGCCCCGGCTGCAGGGCCAGAAATGCCAATTCCAGAGGAGCAGGCAGAGCTCAGGAGCAGCCCCAGCACCAGCAGGGCACAGGGAACGCTCCCAACACCCAGAGCCTCCATCCTGAGCTTGGTTTCCCAAAGTGGGAACAGAACAAAGCCAGAGCCAGGACTGGAACCAGCTGCCAGGGGCAGGGGGGGCACAGCCAGGGCACAGCACCCCCCAAAAAGCCAGGCAGGGGGGCAAGGAGACCCCCAGAGCCATCAGTGCCAATTAAGGCTGGCAAGCAGGAGAGCTCATTTGAATGTTGGAGCTATTTACATCCTTGATGGAAGTGCAAATGCTTTATGGCAAAAAAAACTTAAATATGGTAATTAAGTATGAAACTCCTCACAGCTGTTTACAATTTAAGCTGTCACATCTGAATCAAGTTTAATAGACCCAGCTACTGCTGAGAATTACCCAGGAACTAAAATTATGGACTAATTATATGCCTGTGACTGGGAGCTGTGGTGCATCCAGGGACCCTGCCCTGGGGAGGGCTGGCTCCCAGCCTGGGAGCAGGGATCACCTCAGCAGCAGGACGCTCCTGCAAGTTACAGACCAGGAAAAAGGAAATTATTCCTAGGTTTTTTTGCCACAAAACGCTTTGGAGAACTTTATTTGGAGGGGGATGCACTGAGCTGATGTAGCACTGAGATAATTCTTTTAGCACCAGGAAGATTTAAATTTTAATTTGCAGAGAGAGGCTTATCTTGGCCGTGCAAGGATGGGAGCACACGCCGAGGACAGGAGAGACAACTTGTAGCTCCCATTATTCTCTCCAAGGGGAAAAAAATGAGCTGGGAGAGGCAGGGAATATTAACAGAGCCAAGCTCCAGACACAGGGGTGCTCCTGAGGACCATGCACAGGGTGGGAACGGCCCTCACAGGGGATTTGGGACACCCTACTCCCCATGCAGGGGGCACCAGGGAAGGATTTCTGGGGGCAGAGGGGTCTGAGCTGCCCTTGCTCTCCCCTGAAGCCCCTTCCTGGCACGGGGAGGGGGCTCAGTCCCAGCTCTGGCTCCACCAGGGCTCTCCTTGCCCCACCTCTCTCTCTCCTCACCAGGTCCCTTCCCATCCTGGAGCACTGACTCGGCAGCAGAAGATCCCAGGAGGGTTCACAGCGAGAGCCAGACTGTCCCACACACAAGTCCCCACTCTGAGCCCCATCCCCATCCCACAGCGGGGTCTCCTGAGGGGGGACACAACCCCAGCTGCAAGGATCCCACCAAACCAAATCCATGGAGCTGCCAGGGAGCCCCTGGGCACCTCCTGCCCAAGCCCCAGGGCTCAGGATGCTGCTCCCAGGGGAGTGGGGCAGGGAATGCAGCAGGGAAGGGCTCTGCAGGGGTTGGTGCAGCAGCCTGGGAGCTGTCCCTGTCCCCAGCCCCCCTGCACTGACCATTTTGCGCTTGGTGCACAGGAAGGCGTGGCACTCCAGGTTCTCATTCAGCTGGTTCTGGGCGATGTAGGCGAACACTTTGTCGTGGCTCTTGTCTGCCGTGCAGTAGGAAATCCTGAGAGGCACAAGGACACGGCCCTGAGCTCCGGGGAGAGGCTCCAAACCCTCCTGGGGCTGCCAGGGCCGAGCAGGGAGCACGGGGAGGGCACAGGGAGGGCACCAGGCTTGGCACAACTCCCTCCCAGAGAGGAGGAGCTGGGCACTGAGAGAAGCCAGAGTTCTTCAAAGAGAAGAAAGAATTTCTTTCACCTTGTGGGACGGGACAGGTTAGAGAAAGGGAAGATTCCAGCAGACCAGCACCTCACAAGTGCTCTGCCTTGCTCTGAAGGCTTTTCTTGGAGGATAAGGAAGGAGAAGGGAGCTGTTCTCAGCCTGGGATTTCATCTTCAGGCTCAAAGCAGGGGTGCCCAGGACAGGCTCTGGGATTTGCAGCAGCAGCTCCTGAGGTCAGGGGAGGTGGGAGGGAGGCTCAGCCTCCTCACTGGAGCATCCCCAGCATCCCTGGGGCTCTCCCAGCCCCTGGGCAGGGCAGGCCTGACCCTGGAATGCCCAACCAGGCTCTGGAAGAGCAGCAGGCTGAGAGGTTTGGGGAGCTCAGGCTGTGCCTGAGGGCTCAGCTCCCTTCTGTGACCCCTCAGCATCATCCCCCACCAGCACAGTGCAAGCTGGGAAGAGCTGGCAGCCAGCAAAGCCTCTCTCTCCTGACCAAACAGGTGCTAAAGCCAGAGAAAAGCCCAGGAAGAAGTGGGGTTTTCAGCAGAAGTTCCGTCAGGCCCAATTTTCCCCCTCCAGCTCCTGCTCTCGCTGCCCCTGAGAGTTTGCAGAGAGGGGATTTCAAAAAGCCACATTCAAAGTTTATTTACACATGATTTCACCCACCTCCCTTCCCACACCTCTGCACCAGCCAGGGCTGATGGAGAGCAGCCCAAAACACACCTGTAAATGGAGATGTTCTCGATGAGCTCGTTGGTCCTGCTGTCGTTCAGCACGATCCCGCGGGGTGACACTTTCAGGGTCACTTTCTGCAGCTTCTTCCCACTTGCTTTTGCCTTTGGGAGGGAAAGAGGGAGGGGAAATCCCGGGATTTTAACGCTGGCACCTCCAAAGATGCACCCCGGTATCATCAAGGGCTGATTCTGCTGCCAGACAAAGCGTGGTTAACCCTTCCCTTCCCTGCAGCAGGGATTTGTGCTGGCAGGGACACATCCCACCCAGCACCTCCCCAAGGATGTCCCCAGAGATGTCCCCAGGGCCACAGGAGTTGTGCTGGGAGCAGGATGGGCCTGACCAACCCCAGTCCAGTGGTAAAGCACACCCTGGACAGGACATCAGCTTAAAACCAGACTTTCACAAGCTGCTTTCTCTTACTGATCAGCCTGGTGCAGCTTGCTGCCCCAAATCATCCACATCCAGCACATCCAGCTAGCTCCAGGCTGGAATCCTCAGCCCCACCCCCGGGGCACCTCAAAGCCGTGCCCAGAGAGTCCTGCCCAGCCCCGGGGCTTTACTGAAGAGCTCCATTCCCAGTGGATCAGAGATGTGAAGGGCTCTGCCAGCAGCTCCTGTTCCACGGAGCAATTCCCTCCTTTCCCTGCTGGCCAGGAGAGGATCCAGCACTCCCCACCCCATTGAGCTTTATGGCACAGCTGGGGCTCTGCCTCATTCACTTTTACAAGGGCTTAAAGAAGCGTTAATTTTACCCAGAGCCTGGTGAGGCTCTGAGCTGGAAATGGGCTGGGAATCAGGGGGATGGCTGGGAATGGGCTGGGAATCAGGGGGATGGCTAGGAATGGGCTGGGAATCAGGGGGATGGCTGGGAATCAGGGGGATGGCTGGGAATCCATCCCTCTGAGGTGACACTGGGACAGTGGCTGGGACCTGGAGCAAGCTGTCCCGCTCCCTTCCCCTCTAACCCTCCCAAATCCTGGGAAGGAGAGCTCAGGACGGTGCTGGCCAGGCTCCAAGTGTTGTCCCTGCCCTGCTGAGGGGACCCAGCCCCGGGGCAGGCTGATTCCAGCAGGTCAGAGCCTCCTCACACACCCTGGCTTATCACAGGGAGCCAGAGCCCAGCACACGCCAGCCTTCCCCATCCCACGGCCTGGGCTGATCCCAGGGGCTCCCCAGGAGCTGTCTGCACTTCCACCCACACCCCTGGAGGGGCTGGAGCTCCAAAATCCTGAGCCCCTGGAGCTGCAATCCTCACATCCCTGGAGAATCCTGAATTCCTGGAGCTCCAAGATCCTGAATTCCTGGAGCTCCAAAATCCTGAGGCCCAGGAGCTGCAAAGTCCTGAATTCCTGGAGCTGCAATCCTGACACCCCTGGAGCTCCAAAATCCTGAATTCCTGGCGCTCCAAAATCCTGAGGCCCAGGAGCTGCAAAGTTCTGAATTCCTGGAGCTGCAAAGTCCTGAAGTCCTGGAGCTGCAATCCTCACATCCCTGGAGCTGCAAAATCCTGAATTCCTGCAGCTGCAATCCCAAACCCCTGGAATCCCAGCTCCCCCCAGCTCTGAAACTCCTCCCCGTAGGATCCCCCCTCAGAGCAGGGCCAGCAGGGGACACTCACGGTGGCCACGATCCTTTTGACAGCGGCTGCAGAGAGCTCCTCTCCCTTGGGCTGCTCCACCAGGGTCATGCCCAGGTACTTGAGGCTGAAGAGCATTCCCTCCAGCAGCGTCTCCCGCGTGTCCGTCCAGTTCTCGGGCAGCTCTGGGGACACAAGGAAAGGCTGGATTCACTCCGAGCTCGGAGTAGGGGAGGCAGCAGCGCTTCAGCCACGAGCCGTTCACACGGGAGCCTCTCCCCAAATCCCAAAGCATTTCCCAGCAGCCACATCCCTTCAGGAGCCCCCAGGGAGAAGCAAGGGGAGCACAGGGCTCGGTGCCACCCTGTGACCTGACCCTGCAAAGCATCGCCAGGAGGATAAACCGGGATTTGCTGCTAAACCCGGGCGGGATCCAGGTGAGGTGAATCAGGCACCTGCAGCCCCTGAAACCACCGGGGGACTCTTCCCTGTAGGGCTGGGGGCCGGGAGGAGGGCTCTAAACACGGGATAAGGGCGGCTGGAAAGGGGCAGGGGGTCCCCAGGGTGTGCAGGAGGGCGGGGGTCTCACCCCACACACCTGGAGAGGGGCAGGAAACAGCTCAGGACAGGTGGGATGCTGTGCTGGCCTGGCTGAAAACTGGGGGTGACAGGGTTTCTAAAAGCCAGGTGTCACACACCCCCAGGTGTCACGCACCCACAGGTGTTACACACCCCCAGGTGTCACACACCCCCAGGTGTCACACACCCCTCCAGGTGTCACACACAGGTGTGACACAGCCCCCAGGTGTGACACAGCCCCTCACAGGTGTGACACAGCCCCTCACAGGTGTCACACCACCCCCCCCCACGCTGTCCCCACGCCAGCCCCGCCCGTGTCCCGCTGCTGCCTGTCCCTAATCCCAGCTCTAACACGACGGGCCAGCCTCATCGGCTCAGCGACAGCCACAAGTTGTCGCCTCGGGGGGTGCGGGGTGGCCCCCCCGGCCCCGGGTGGCCGCTCGCCACGGGGACATCGATCGAAGCCAGCAGCGGGACGAGGTCACCCAGTGCCCGCCGGGCTCCAGGGCTGGACAGGGGGACACGGGGACAGAGGGACAGAGGGACACGGGGACGGGGGAACGGGGGGACACGGGGACACAGGGACAGGGGGACACGGGGACAGCCCCCACCCAGCCCCGGCCAAGGGGCGCGCACCGGGCTGGATGCGGCCAAAAGCGGGGCTAAAAGTGCCAAGAACCGCCAGGAGCGAGCCCTGAGGCAGCGAGGGGGGAGCGCAGGCGGCCGCAGGAAGGGGAGAGAGCGGACGGGGCAGAGCCGAGGGAAAAGAAGGCGCAAAGCGGGGAAAAGTGAGCGCGGGGGCCGGGAGCGGGCAGAGGCGGGCGGGATGAGGGGAAGAAGGGGCTGGGTCTCACTCTTGTGCCGCCCGCCGGCCCAGGACGGTTTGTGGACGCTGGGGCTCCTCAGCAGGGCCCGACCCGCGGATTTGAGCGCGTCCATCCCGGCCCGGCCCGGCCCGGCCCCGCCGCAAACTTTCCTGAGGCGCCAGCGCTGACCGCGTCCGGGGGCGGGGCCATGCAAATGAGCCGTGACGTCATCGCGTCACGCCCTGCGCCACGCCCACCACGAAGTTGTGAGGGGTCCCCGAAACTCCGGCGGGATCAAAAGCAGCCCCGAGGGGTCCCCAAAAAACCTCGGAGTTGTGAGGGGTCCCTGAAACTCCGGCGGGATCAAAAACAGCCCCGAGGGGTCCCAAAAAACCTCCGAGTTGTGAGGGGTCCCTGAAACTCCGGCGGGATCAAAAACAGCCCCGAGGGGTCCCCAAAAAACCTCGGAGTTGTGAGGGGTCCCCAAAAAACCTCCGAGTTGTGAGGGGTCCCCAAAAAACCTCCGAGTTGTGAGGGGTCCCTGAAACTCCGGCGGGATCAGAAACAGCCCCGAGGGGTCCCCAAAAAACCTCCGAGTTGTGAGGGGTCCCCAAAAAACCCTGGAGTTGTGAGGGGTCCCCGAAACTCCGGAGGGATCAAAAACAGCCCCGAGGGGTCCCCAAAACTCTGCGGGGACTCCGGGAGTTTGTGTGGGGTCCTTAAAGCTCCGCGGGGTCCCCAAAAGCTCCTCGGGATCATAAACTTCTGCAGGGTACCGAAAACTCTGCGGGGTTTCCAAAAATTTGCGGGGTCCCCAAAACTGTGCAGGGTCCTGAGAGCTCCAGGAGATCCTAAAGTTGTGCAGGATCCCAAAAACTCTATGGCGACCCAAAAAACTCCACGGGGACCCCAAAACTGTGATGGAACCTCAAAGCTCTGCGGGGTCCCAAAAACTCTGTGGGGTCCCCAAAGCTCCTCAGGGACCCCAAAACTGTGCAGGGTCCCAAAAGCTCCACGAGATCCTAAAGTTGTGCAGGGCCCCAAAAACTCAATGGTGACCCAAAAAACTCCACCCCAAAACTGTGATGGGACCCCAAAGCAAAAAAATCCCAAAAAATCGCTGTGTAAGGAACAAATTTGAGCACTCCCACAGATCCTGCTCTGTGCAAAAAACCATCTCTGCTCAGGGGAAGATGCTCAGTGTTCCTGCTGCCACTGCAGCTCTTTTTGGGGTGTCCCCCTGTCCCTTGGGGGAGAGGAGAGGAGTTTTCCCACTCAATCCACCCCAATCAGACTCCTTGGAAGTCTGGAATTTAAAATGGCCTTGTTTTAGGGAAAAATAAAAAATGGGAAGGCAGCTCCAACCTGCTGCTCCACACCCATTTCCCTGGGTGGGATTCCAGGCTTTCCTCCAGAGGGAAAACCCCAGGACAGGCAGGCCCTGGGAAAAAGAATCAAATTTATTTATTTACTTTTAATTCATGGAGTCCTGAGCCTGCAGAGCAGAGATTTTTTTGGGGGGAAACCTCCTGGTTCTCCTTCCTTGGCTGCTCCTGCTGTCCATGTCCCATTTATTGTCCCCATTTATTGTCCCCATTTATTGTCCCCACTTCCCTCCTCCCCAGGTTATTTCCAGCTCTGCAAACGCAGGAATTGTGCAGCAGCTCCTCTCCCCTCCTGGAAACACCAGAGAAATCCACGGTTTTTGCATCCTCGAGGAAATAAACTCAGCTTTCCAGGGAACCTTCTGCATTTTGGGGAAACTCCTGCAGGTTTTTGTGCTGCTGATGTGTTTTCCCAGCCGATGGGGGCTGGTCCTGAATTTCTTTTGAAATTCTTTTGATTTTTCCCAAGGAATTTGCAGCCCTGGCTCCAAGGCCGGTGGCAGGAGGGTGGCTGCTCGTTTGCTGCCGGCTTTAATTAATGAGGGCAGCAAAGCCAGGCTTTGCTCTCTCCTCATGCTCACATTTATGGCAAATCAGGACATGGCTCCCTCCTGACAAATGGGCTGAGAGGGCTCTGTCTAATTCCTGGGTGATAAAAACACCAATTGCTGACATTTCCCTCTGTTTTCCCTTCCTCTGACATTTCATTAAGGAGAAAACAACACCAGCCACTCCAAACGTGCTCTCATTGACATTTGCTGGCCCTGATTAAGCCCGAGTTTGACAGGGGGGGATGTCCCTGTCCCCAGGATCCCAAAATTCCCCCAGGGAATTCCTCCCAGGACAGGCTGAGCTGCTCCCAGCTCAGGAATCACCTCAGCTCACCCCACCCAGCCCAAATTAAACCAACCCCTCACTGCAGCCCGGCAGGAAATCCAATTTATAGTCATGCTAGGGACTCCAATTACCACAGCCATTAACAATTTGTTAATGAGTCAATTAACATGCTTTGGGATCTATGGAGAAAGGCCATTATAAATATGATGGCATCAAATACTGCACAAATAAAGATTTGAGTGTGCCAGGGGCTGCTGCTGGGTGCAGGTGGGACCAGCTCCACTGAGATCCTTCCCTGCCAGGATGGCCTGGAAGCTGCTGGGATGGGTTGGAAGCTGCTGGGATGGCCAGAATTGCTGCTGGGATGGCCAAAACCCTCCCAGGATGGGACACAAACCCCTCAAGGATGGACACAAACCCTCCAGGGATGGACACAACCCCTCCAGGGATGGACACAAACCCTCCAGGGATGGACACAACCCCTCCAGGGATGGACACAAACCCTCCAGGGATGGACACAACCCCTCCAGGGATGGACACAAACCCTCCAGGGATGGACACAACCCCTCCAGGGATGGACACAAACCCTCCAGGGATGGACACAACCCCTCCAGGGATGGACACAAACCCTCCAGGGATGGACACAACCCCTCCAGGGATGGACACAAACCCTCCAGGGATGGACACAACCCCTCCAGGGATGGACACAAACCCTCCAGGGATGGACACAACCCCTCCAGGGATGGACACAAACCCTCCAGGGATGGACACAACCCCTCCAGGGATGGACACAAACCCTCCAGGGATGGACACAACCCCTCCAGGGATGGACACAAACCCTCCAGGGATGGACACAACCCCTCCAGGGATGGACACAAACCCTCCAGGGATGGACACAACCCCTCCAGGGATGGACACAAACCCTCCAGGGATGGACACAACCCCTCCAGGGATGGACACAAACCCTCCAGGGATGGACACAACCCCTCCAGGGATGGACACAAACCCTCCAGGGATGGACACAACCCCTCCAGGGATGGACACAAACCCTCCAGGGATGGACACAACCCCTCCAGGGATGGACACAAACCCTCCAGGGATGGACACAACCCCTCCAGGGATGGACACAAACCCTCCAGGGATGGACACAACCCCTCCAGGGATGGACACAAACCCTCCAGGGATGGACACAACCCCTCCAGGGATGGACACAAACCCTCCAGGGATGGACACAACCCCTCCAGGGATGGACACAAACCCTCCAGGGATGGACACAACCCCTCCAGGGATGGACACAAACCCTCCAGGGATGGACACAACCCCTCCAGGGATGGACACAAACCCTCCAGGGATGGACACAACCCCTCCAGGGATGGACACAAACCCTCCAGGGATGGACACAACCCCTCCAGGGATGGACACAAACCCTCCAGGGATGGACACAACCCCTCCAGGGATGGACACAAACCCTCCAGGGATGGACACAACCCCTCCAGGGATGGACACAAACCCTCCAGGGATGGACACAACCCCTCCAGGGATGGACACAAACCCTCCAGGGATGGACACAACCCCTCCAGGGATGGACACAAACCCTCCTGGCACTCTCCAGGTGAGGGAGATGCTGGCTGGGGTTAATCCTGAGCAGAGGGAACAGGAGTTCAGTCATTTATTTGGGTTAATTCTGCTTTTTCTCACGTGGAATTCAGGCCTCAGCCCAGTGTTAAACTGGATTTGTTTTATTGATGTCTCGTTATGTAATGCAGCAAAGATGAAAATGCAGCGGGGTGAAATTGCAGCTGCTGGAGGAAATAACTGGAGTTTTTTCTGAACTATTATACTGAATTATTTCTGAATTATTTCACTGAATAACTAATAACATACTGAATTATTGCACTGAAATAACACATTTAAGTCTTGAAAAAAGGGGAGAAATCTCAGTGCTGGAATGCTCAGGGCATCCTCTATCACAGGGTATCAAAGCATAAATCAGGATTTATTTAAACCTTGTCACATGCTGCTCACAGCCAGAGCAATCCTGGGGCAGGCCGTGAACCTGGGGAGCAGCAGCAGCAGACAGGGAAATATTTCAACTAAATTTAAAAATATTTCAATAGTTTAAAAGATTAAATCTTTAATAAAATATTTCTTATTTAATTTTTCTTAAAAAAAATTTAAGATTTAAAATAAAAAAATTAGTATTTTTTAAATTTAATATTTTAAATTTTAAAATTAATATATAATAAGAGTAATAATGACAATGATTATGATAAAAATTATTATTATTAATAATAATAATAATAATAATAATAATGTTGTTAAAAGGTCACCTTTGCCTGGCACAGAGGACTGGAAGGAGCAGGGAGAACTCAGCTCCCAGACTTTTATTATCTTTTGCTGCTCTCCAATAATTTTAATAATAATTTAATTATTATTATTAATAATAATGATTTGATTTTTAAATAATTTAAATTTTTTCATTTCAATTTTTGCATTCATTAAAGCAGCATTAGTGATTCTCCTGCTCTCCCATTCCCTCTCCCGGACAGGATCCCAATTTATTCCAGGGCAGCTTCCTGAGCTTTATCCCTCCTCCAGCACCTCCAGGATCACCAGAATTCCCAAAATTCCACATTCCCAAATCCCATCCTGGATCAGCTTCACCCACAGCCCCCTCTGGGCACAAAATTGGGATGAGAGGACACCGAGTTTATCCCCTGGGAATGTTTTCCCATCATCTGCCTCAAAAAAGGAAGGGAATTGTTGGGAGCACCAAGAGCATCTCGAGAGCGGGGTGACATTGTCACCGCTGCTTCCATGGAAACCGCGTTTGTTTCTCGGAGCTGTTCCACCATAATTAATAAAAACCTCCCCTGCACGTGGGCTCTGCTCTGAGCTTCCCCAGGACACGTGGAAAAACCAAAA